AAGTACAGATTCTTAATTGAACCTGGGCCAACTTTAAGAGATTATTAGCAGATTGATGACTGAAAGGATGTGACCTAGGGAGCTAGGGATATCCTTGATTTACAAACTTGACGTGTCTGTAGGGTTGTCAGTGACATATCATATTGGAGCCTGTCTTCCCACTGATAGATTAGACCAGCAGTTCTAAAAAACTTTTGTTTTGGGACCCTGCACCCTGTAAAAACATGTTAACATAAATATTTTTTGAAAAATGTATTTTCCAATACAAAAATAGAAAAATGACATTGTTTTCATTTTTGTTAAATCACTGTGTCATGACTAATAGAAGATAGTGTGTTCTTGTATCTGCTTCTGCATTTATCTGTTGCAGTATGTTGTTTGGGTTGAAGTATATGATGAAAATCTAGCCTTACACACCTGTGTAAGTAGAAAAAGGAGGACCTCATGAAGTCCTGAAAGGGTCTTAGGGCCCTCAAAAGTCTTCAGACCACATTTTGAGAATCACTGGGTTAGCAGTACATTCCAGTGGGAAAGGAAAAAATAATCTCCCTAAAGATGAGTTGACAACTTTTTTGAAAGATAAGGAGTCTGAGTTATGACATGCTGGAAATTACAGTGTTCTAGTACAGTGCTTCTCAAAGTTTAATGTATTTATAATCACATGAGATCCTTTTTAAAATTCAGGTTCTATTCAGAAGATTTGGTGTGAGGCTCCAGCAGCTCTAACAAGCTCCCAGGTTATGCCAATGCTGCTGAACCATGGAACTCACACCAAGTAGCAATGCTCTAGTTTATTATGATACACACATCACAGAAAACCTATGGTAGCATGCATAGTGAGCTTGCGTGTGCGCACGCGCGTGTGTGGAGGAGGGTAGGATAAGGATGAGTGAAGGTAAGAGGAGTATAAACTCTACTTTTCAAAAATTCTATAAAAAGGAATGATGCTATTGTTTTCTTATAAATCCTATACTATGACAAGTTTTGGCTACTACTAACTGTCTCTACATTAAAGCAAGCTAAAGCGTAATGCTGCTATTGGCAAAGATAGAATCCAACTGCTGTGTTTGTTGAGGCAAAAGAGGATAATGGTATTACATATGAAAAAAAATTGGGGGGCCCTAAAGAATTGGGCAAGTAATTGATGTGCTGTGTTAAGGTCTTAAGTCCATAATATTTTTGGTAGAGTGATACCATGAAATTACTAAGTTAATATATGCTCACTTTGTAGAGAATTCAACAACTCTCTTATATTCATGTGTAGAAATCACATAATATTTTAAGCAGCTTTGCAGAGGATAGTACTACAAGAACACAAACTTTTCCTCTCCCAAACACTTACCACAAACCATATTGGGTAAAATTACCAAATAAAACTTAATCTTGAGTAGCATACGCAGTTTATTTGGTTCTCAAATAGTATTTCCCATTTGTCTCCAATCCTTCGACTTCAGTGACATTCATTTCTACCCAACCCTGCTGCTTAGCAACTTGACTGTAAATTTTTGTCATTCCTTGGACCTACCTTACATCCAAAACCTTGAACTCTGAAATTTTTTAAATGTATCATCTAATTTTTGGCTCTTACTGAAATGGATCTTCAACCTTATTATGACCTCTGGGCCCTGACACCTCCCCCCACTGTTTTAATAAAATGCACATAACAAAATTTGCCATCTTTACCATTTTAAGTATACATTTCAGTGGTATTAAGTACATTCACTTATGCAACCATCACCATTCATCTCCATAACTCTTTTCATCTCATAAAACTGAAACTCTACATGCATTAAACTATAGCTTCTTATTCCCCCCATCTTATCCCCTAACAATGCTTTTTGTCTCCAGGATTTTGACTACTCTACCTCATATAAGCGGAATCATACAGCTGTCTTTTTATACAGGTGTAGTTGACTTAGCTTAATGTTCTTAGGGTTCATCCATGTTGCAGTATGTGTCAGAATTTGTTCTTTTTTTAGGCTGAAAAATATTCCATTGTACATGTACACCACATTTTGCTTATCCATTCTCCCATCAATGGACACTTGGATTGCTTCTCTAATTTAGCTATTGTGAATAATGCTATGAACATGACTGTACAAGTATCTCTTCAAGACCTTGCTTTCAATTCTTTGGGGTGTATAACCAGAAGTGGAATTGCTGGGTCCAACTTTGCGCAAAAATAGTTATTTAATTGTAGTAATGGTAGTTCTTTTTGTTTTGAGGAACAACCATGCTGTTTTCCACAACAGCTGTACTATTTTACAGTCTTAACAGTGCACAATTCTATTTTGAGTTTTAGTTACTTCCATACATGTCTAGTGTTATATGGCTAGATGACGTTTCTTTAATTCAAACATAGGTTTCATATTCAAATTTATATTTTGACTTAATCAAAGGCATCAGTTTTTGCATTAAGGAAAGGTAACCACATAATACCAAATAAAAAATATGTCTGGAAATAAGAAATGCCTTTAGGAACAACATTCTGAATAAACATAATTGAATTGGCACTCTACCACTCTTCAGATGCTCTGGCCTTTTGGAACTTTTAAACAGGTCAAACTATCATCAACCTGGAGAACTCATTTGATGTTTGGTATGAAAATAACATTTTTATTGGCCTCTGTTCACAATCTAGTAAGTTAGTAAAAAGCATAGACCATTAATATTTGTTTGTAAGACTCATAAACTAAGGGAAGTGGTACTCCCTGTAAAAATGATGCACAATGAACATTTCTGGCATCAGAATAGATGTATTCCAGTGACATACTTTCAATGTCAGAGAAATGTTACTGGAAATAACAAGTTAAATAGTGGGTTATACTCCAGGATGTTGATCCTTTGGTACAGTATGTCCTTTCCCCTTCTAGGTAAAAATGCCTGTGGTTATACTTCTCAGTTTTACTGATATTCTAGAGTTTATTTGCTCAGTAACATGGAAGCCAGGCAGCCACAGCCAGGATGTTTAGTTTTTATTCTCAGGGGAGTTCCTCAGCTAGAGGCATCTCTTGCAAAAAATATGTTCCAGAATCAAAGTTTTGGACCGCTTCAACAACCAAATCAGCACTAAAAACAGGTCTTTTTTAAAAACAGAAGTTGACTTTATTTAAAAGAACTTGGAACAGAGGACTAGTTAATCTAAGTATTTCTCTAGGTTTTAAAAGATTTGGTATGATTTATAGTACATACTTTATGCTAATAGTTTTTTAATTGTAGTAAAGTACATGTACTTACTATTTTAAAGTATACAGTTCAGCAGTATTTAGTATTCACAATGTTGTCCAGCCATTACCACTACTTAGTTCCAGAAGAAACCCCCATATCCATTAAGCAATCACTCCCTATCTTCCCCTACCCCTAGTCCTTTGGTAACCACTAATCTGCTATCTTTTATGGATTTGTCTATTCTGGATATTTCATATAAATGCAATCATAGTGTATGTAGCCTTCTGTGTTTGGCTTCTTTCACTTGATGTGTTTTCAGTATTCACTCATGTTGTACCATGTAACAGTACATAGTTCCTTTTTATGGTTGAGTAATATTCCATTGTATGGATCTGAACACTATACAGATACATGCCATTTTGCTTATCCGTTCATCGGTTCCTGGATATTTGGCTGTTTTCACCTTTTGGCTCTTATGAACAGTGCTTTATTTGAATGCCAGTTCTTGCTTGGACACTTTAAAATTTTTAGACATATACCAAAGTGTAAAATTGCTGGGTCACATAATACAGTATTTTTTTATTTACATTGCTGAGTTCAAACACTGGGTAGTACTATTTAAGAAAATAGTGAAGGCTCTGGGAATTTACTTGTTATAGGCTGGATGATTAACCAGAAATTGGTAGCTCTAGCTCTTCAGCTTTTTTGGGGACATCATTACTTTTATAGGTGGTGGGAAAGATATGTTAATGATTCTCCTTCTATGCACATAATTACCTGAAAACCTTTAAAAAATGTAAATGGCTGAGTCTCATGGCCAAAGACTCTAATTCAGTAGGTATTGAGCCTAGGGATTTGTATTTTAAACACACACATCTTAGGTGATTCTGATGGAGGTGGTCTTAGACTACACTTTTCAGAAGCCCTGTTAACTGAGGGCTTTATCTCAACTGAAATCAAATTAGGTGAAGGGCATTAAAGGAGTAAAATGCAGCTTTAACTATAATCTTAACCTTCATAGAAACCCTGAAAATCAGATGAAAAATGATATAATCGTACAATATATTTGCTAGAAGAAAAACCCATTCTTCTATAGTAGCACCACTTTCTTCCTTTTAATAGGAAAAGTGTGACCAAGAAGCATTATGTAGTTAAGAAACAAAATACTGTTGAACCCACCATCATTCTCAAGGTTTCTACTATAAACATCTGTTAGCATTAGTGATAAGTAATGCTTTAGCAACTTTTGGGTTTAAAGATGTCACCAATTTTAAGTTTACTTTTGATATTTTGTTTTTAATAATAGCCTTGTTTAAGCAAGACACCAGGTGCAGGTTGGATGAGTTTCTTCTTAGAAAACAGATTCATTACAGACATTCAACTGCTTAATGTAAGACTTACTAAAGAGCAAAAAATCACCTCCCCTACCCCAGTTTAACAAGGCTTCATCCAATTCCTAAAAAGCTGACATGGCTTATTTTTAGATCCACCTGTTTAAAAAGAGCCAAGTTAATCGTGGAAGGTAACTTGGCTTTGAACCATTAGGTTAGCCCTTAAAAACACAAAACCATTTTGAGCAATTAACTATTTTGGTTTAATTGATTGTATTTCATAGATGCTGAAAGCACTCAATTATTTCTCCTTTATATGAAGGAGCCTGTATATTACAGCATGCAGAACACTATTTAAAGAATTCCCATAAAATTACATTAGGAACTTTTTCATCAGTGGAGCAACTGCTGTAGTTTCCTCTGACTTGTACAGCATCTGCCTGAATGCATGTTTTTCTTTGTGACGATCTAAGTTTAGGTAAGTACAAATCACAGCAAAAATTAAAGTTTTCATCTTTAATGAAATGACCTTGGAAATATACATTTCCATGACCCCAACACTATAGTTTTTGGAGTCACAGTAAGATACACAGAATTACATCCGTAATTAATATGAACACCAACATTTCAAGCACTAATTTGTTACATGGCAAACAAAATCAAGAAAGCAACCATCAAACAAAAGAGACCCATAGCTTCAGACAAGGCAAATCCCAGGATGGCATATGAGAACAGCTGCTGCTTCAGTGAAGGGTTTCTAAAAGAGACACAACACATATAACTGTTACTTTGAAATATTATCTGAATTTCAATATATTTGGTCAATGTTAAAGAACCAGATTCTTAGCATAGGGACCTTTGTAAACTGCAAAGTTTCAGAAAAGTATTGGCCTATAGCTCTTTTGCTTCTGCCTTTAATACTTCTTTCTCCTCAATCCCAGTCACATAAGGAAAAGTCTCTCTGTATATCAACATAAATGGTTAGTCTTCTTTTGAGGTTCAGACATTCTTGTTAACTCTGGGAAAGTATGTTCTGTATTTTTTAAGATCTGAATTTAGAAATAAGGTCTCAATAAAATGGAAACTGGTATTTTTAAAGATTGTGCTCTGTTAATTAAAATTTATTTTCTGACCTTATGAGCTATGACCTTGGGTTAAGCAGAGAAACCCATGTCTCTTGTCCTTCAAAAGTAGACAAGAGTATACCTCCAAGGAGTGTTGTAAGGATTAAGTGAAATAATGCATGCAAAGCCTTCAAGATACAATGCAAGGCAGAGTAGGTACTTCATACTAAGTGGCTGTTATTATTTTATTACTTTTCTAAATTTCCAACTATTTCAAGCATGCTCTTAAAACTAGCATATTTGGCAATAGAAATTACCTGGCATAACCAATGATAAGGCTGCCAAAGACTGTTCCAATACCAGCACCAGAACCAGCTACTCCTACTGTTGCAGCACCTGCACCAATAAATTTGGCAGCAGTATCAATGTCTCTGCTGATTGCACTGGTCTGAAATTCCCTTTGGATTAGATGAGACATGCCATTCTGGGCCCCATTAAATACTGTAGAGCCCTAGGGAAGAGGAAATAAAGGCAAAATTCATATCAGTAATCACAGTTAGCTGTTTTAATTACTGTACTGTAAAATGATAACCAGTTCTCTATTTTGTAGCTGAGTTTGAATAGGAGGTGGTGTGGCACAACAGAAAAATCAAGGGCTTAGAATAATTCCAATCCTATACAACAGGGGTAACAATATTTATACCTTATAAGGTTGTTGAAAATTAAGAAACAATTATATGTATGTTTTTTAATAGAGTAGACTTTTCAACAACTAAAGTTAGTATAATCTTAAATATGAACAACTCAAGACTATATATTTAAATATACATACTATACTACTTGGTAAACTCAGGTAGATAAGTTTTGGACACAGAGGTTTCTTTCATTGGTTCAGCCTCTGCATATTTTTTGGGTAAAAGGGTGGAAAAGGATTGTTCTCAAACCATTCACTAATGAGGTTTTATTTCCTTTTCTTTAATCAAAACTGTTAAGACTTTTCTTAATTAAGTTTAAGACTTACTTGCTTAATTAAACAGTTTTACTCAATTTCTATTATTACTATTATTATTTCTATTACCTCTCCAGTCCTAGCCTCTGGTCGAGATAACACTGATGCAGAAATTGGTCTGTATGCAACTCTGGATCCAGCTCGGATCTATTAACAAAAACAGGATTCCAAGTATTAAGTAAGAATACAGATAAGATTTCAATGACCGTTCTTGTACCATGAGTCTAAAAAAAGCAAGCAGCAAAAAGGAATCAAAAAGCTCCTGACTTTTCTTACTGATTCTTAATGTTGGCTATGTGGTCATTTTCAATACATGAAGCGATTTTAATAGTTTTAAAGTTGCCAATAACATTTTAAAGCATGCTGCATAATCTACTGTAGTTATCTGAACACAACTTTTAAGAACAATTAGTTAATAAAATAAATATTACTTAAAAAATTTCAATTATTGTAGTGCCACAATTCAGATAAGAAAAACAGCAATAAACATCCCACTTCTTTTGGTAAGTTTATGTGGACCAACAAGTATGTCATGAACGTCACTATAAATGCTTGTAATTTAAAAAAGCCCATCAGTTAATACGAGCTCCCACAACTTCCAAGATATTCCTGTATGCCCATTAGTCATAAAATAAAAAACCTTAAGCAATTCTACATCAGTGTAAGAATAACTGAGTAAACACTCTGATCACAAGTACATATTCCAGTCCAGCTTCTCTGCCCTTGAGTGTCCACTAAACTAAGGTCACAGGAAATCCCTTCAGAACCAAGACCTGATAAGACAAATCCCCCAGATCTTCACCTAAAGCCTCCAAAAATAAGGGCATAACGTTCCACAGGCAGGGGGAAAGGCTTTCGGCGTCTCCAACGACTGCCTCCGCCCACAAAGTGACGCAAAGGCCCTCCCTCTACTCAGTGAGTCTGACCTACGGAGTGGTAAGGGGGAGTCCGCTACGGTGAACTTGGCCCCGGCGGCCCCCTACGTCCGGAACCGAGCCCAGCCTACACGTACCCCCAACCCACCCAAGTGACCGAGACGGTGGGGAAGGGGGCCGCTCCAGAACGGGCAGCAAGGAGATTCCGACCTACAGGGAGCGGGGCGGGACAGCCAGGCCTCGACTGCTCCTGCCGCCCTAGCCCGGGGAGGGGCGGGCTGAGACACCCCAGAACAAGGAGGAAGGAAGGAAAGTGCAGAGTAAGTGGGGAGGGGAGAGCGGCCCCGAGAGGCTGGTGTGCTCCGCCCGGGGCGTCCCATTCAACAACGTGGCCGCCCCAGGCCAAGAGGTCCGACTCTCGGTCCCGCCGCCCAGCGCCGGCTACGCACCAGAGCGGGGGTGCAGGCGAGCTTGGCGCAGGCGAACATCTTACACTCTTCGGGGCAGTGAGGCTGGACGACGTGGGTGACAGGCGACGCGGGCTCGTCTCGCGCTTCCTCTCTGAAGAAGCAAAGGGTCTTAAGGTCAGGTGCCCTCCAGGGGCCTGTCCTTCCCGCCTACGTCCGGCGGCCTCGGAACACGCCGTCAGTGTGGGCCCCTCGCCCAACAAGACGCCAACAGAATGAATGGGTCTCTACTAGGCGCTGCTCCGCCCCGGCCAGGCCGGGTTCCCGCGCCCTCCGCTTACCTTCCTAGGCGGCGGCGGCGGCGGCGGCAGAGGTCGAAGGAATGGGGCTGTGCGCGCAGGCGCGGTCCAGCTCTTACCCGCGCCGCGGCACCCGGATGGAGAAGGCGGAGAATCGAGTGGGGGGGGGAGGGGGAAGAAGCTCAAGGTCACTTTGTAACAACTTTATTGGTAATTAGTTTGGAAGGACAAGGACAGCTCCCCAGTGATAGACGGGCGATAGGGAATTGGTAAAGGAAAGACAAAAAGAAGAAATTGGACATTAGCCCTGGCAGAGAAAACAGGGTTGTTTCTTGATCTGTGCTGGCTGGAGGATGCGACTTTTTCTTTCAGGTGACACGTTCTTGTGAGATTTGGCCTTTTTCTGTTGATACTTAACTTTAATAGAGAGGCCCCCGTCCTGGTCATTCTTCTCTGTGAAATAGGACTCTTTTGGGGGTAGGTGTGGGGGTTCATTTCACTACTTGTCAGAGGAAATTCGGGTCCCCAGCACAGTGAATACATTTCTTTAAAGGAATCTGAAAAAGGATTACAAATTCCTATATGGCTAATTCTATAGGTGAAAGAGGGCTTGAACGGGGAGTACTAGGACAAAGGAATGAGCAAACGAATAGATCTAAGAATTTTGTGACTTAGGGCACAAAGTTGCCTCCTTGTAAAGTGAGTGGGGCCCGTTTTTCTTCCATCACTGTGTTTGGAAGAATTAAGGGTTGTACAAAGCAAAACTGAAGAAATAAAACAGCAGCAGACTCACAAGTCTCCAAGAAGGGACTAGGTTAGCAAAGGGAAGGGGCTGGGGAGGTTGGGTGGGGAAGGAGGAAGAAGTGGATTAAGGGGCATTATAATTAGCCCGCATAATGTAGGTAGGTCCCAGGGGAAGGCAGTAGGGCAAGGAGAAGGTACGTAGTGACTCCATAGCATCTTACCAAGCTGATGGACAGTGATTGCAGTGCGGTGGGGTAGGGGACTTGATAATATGGGTGTATGTTGAAACCACAGTTGCTCATGTGAAACCTTCATAAGACTGTATATTAATGATACCTTAATTTAAAGAATAAAAAGTAAAAAGAATTAAGGGTTGTAATATATTTCATGTAGGGTCTGGAACTAAAGAAAGGCTGAATATTTTCAGAACCTATCCAGTTTAACACCTGTTTTTGGTAACTTTGGACAAATAATTTTCTTCAGATGAATACAGAAATGTTTCAGAAAAATGGCTTCTACTGAACTTCTGATATATTTTTGAATTCTATAAATTTGACTTAGTTCTAACAAATGGCTGCTGGAAGTGATCCAAGTCAGCATAAATGATTAAACATCTAGTATGCCCAGCTGAAAGAGCCCTACTATGGGACAACATTGACCCAGAGGGTCACCCTTTTTCTGGTTCCCACAAAGATGCAGTATCATGATCAGCAATCCTGGGGATAAGCCATGAAGACTGAATAAGACTTTGCCCCTGATCCAACTTCAAATGCAAATGGTTCAAAATCACATGAAAGCAAATCATTTTAGGCTGTCTTTAGCCCATAAAATAGAGATAATCCACATGATTTCACATGTGCAGTTCAAAGATACTAGTGTATTTTCTCAAGTACTTGGTTCTTACTTGAAGTATGTAGTGTCCTGTGATGTCTGCAGTAGAATAAATGATAATACACTATTAGGACTCTCCAGAGAAACAACCAGTAGTGTGTGTGTGTGTGTACATAGAGAGAGAGTGTGTGATTTATGAGGAATTGGCTTATGTGGTTATGGGAGCTGAGAAGTCCCATGATCTGCCGTCTAAGCTGGAGACCCAGGTAAGCAGGCTCTGTAATTCAGTTGGAATCTGAAGACCCAAGGACCAGGGAGGACAATAGTGTGATTCCCAGTCTGAGGGTCAGAGAACATGCAATGAGATGTCTCAGCTCAACACTAAGACATGGAGAAAAGGGGGCAGTTCTTCCTTTCTCTGCGTTTTGTTCTGTTCAAGCCCTAATGGATTAGATGATGCCTACCCACATTGGGAAGGGCAATCTGCTTTACTGAATGCTCTGGTTGAAATGATGATCTCATTCAGAACCATCTTCACAGACATACCCAGAAATAATAATGTTTAATCTAGGCACCCCCATGGTCAGTCAAGTTTACACATAAATTAACCATCACATCTCCTATACTTCAGTAATAAATCCTCTTAAGGGAAAAATTATTCTAAATGGATTTGTGTACAGAGATGGTTTAAGGGAAGTTCCTATCTCTTTAGCCATAAATCAGTAGCAGTAACTGTTAGGGAGGAGGAAGCCGGAGAGAAGCCAGGGTCCCTAACAGGATCACAGGCAGAGTGCATATGGACTACCTGCCTATGGCAGGGAGAGGTGCAGTCTAAGTGCAGGCCCTGCACTGTTAATATGTCAATAATCAGGTGAACTGGCCTAGAAGAGGAGAGAATAGGTCCTTGGAGGGTTCTATCAGTTAGAGTTTAAATATTTATGAGGAAAATTAGGTGTTCAAAAAAAAAATGTTCTATCTTTAAGAATGGTATGTGTGTGTGTGTGTTACACAGAAAGACAGAGATAGAAAGGATCCAATAGTGATTTTTTAGAGGAAGAAGACTGAAAAATGACTTATCACACAGGCTGGAGGCTAGAAATTGGACTTTGGGTTCTAAAGGATAGCCTAGGCTGTTCTGTTGAGGGCACAGACCATGGTCATATCTCCAAGATGCTTTCTAGATAGATCTACTCAGATTTTGCCAAGTTTTGCATCCTAAAATTTACACTGATAGAAGAAGGGGGTAGATCTTGAATGACATGAACCCATGTTGATGGGGGTGGATATTTGTGCCAAAGAAGTTTGAAGAAAACAAGCACCTTCTAAGAGGAGTAAAGTGAGACCGTAAGGATGAACAGGGGACTTCTTATGATGTACTTAAGCACCCCTGTATTTTTTCTTATACTGTGGGACAGTCGTATTAGGAGAGATCATAATTTGGTAGTATCTGATGAGCTCCGGTGAGGACGGCATGGCAGAAAGGAGTGGGGTGGTGAAAAGAAGAGTGAAACATCATTTCCAAATGTAGCCGCAACAATCCCTCCTATCCCGTGTGCCCCTTTGCAGTGTCCCTTTGCCACTACTCACTTCATCAAGCAATAGAGTTGGTTTTCCTTCTTCAGTCTGGGCTGACCCTGTGATTTGCTTTGACCAAGAGAATACATTGGAAGTGACACTGTGTGACTCCTGAACTAGGCCTAAAGAGGTATCATAACTATCATTCTTTCCTTCTTGGAAGCCAGCCACCATATCAGGGAACACGGGTTAGGCTACTAAATGATAAGAAACCAGGTGGACAGAGAAAAGCTTTGTGAAAGAGAAAACAGGTGCCCTGGATATGTGAGTGAGGCCATCTTGGGCCCTCTAGCTGTAGAGATCAAAACATGGAACAGAAATGAGCCATGCCCAAATTCCTGACTCACACTTTTGCTTAAATTCTTGATACACAGAATCAAGAGCAATGAAAGGGTTGTAGTTTGAAGCTATTAAGTTTTAGGGTAGTTTGTTAAGCCTCAGTAAGTAACAGAAACAGAAGATGTCTGCCAGTTGTTCACCAGACCTTTGAGATCCATGTGGAGGCAGCAGCACCTTAATATGGGGAATTTCAGTTCAAAATTCAGGCATACCTCATAGCCAACCAGACAGGCAGAGGCATGTGTCTTGGTGACTGACACCCCTTTCCTTGAAGTCCTAGGGTGGAATAGGGTTGTTATTGTTAGAGTTCTTGTAAGGTAGTTCTAACCCAAACACATGGAAAGATGTTTAAATTATCTTTAGAAAGGTTTGAAAAACATTTGGAAGTTTTCATTTTACCAGCCTGAAGGTTCTCATCAGTCTTCTCTGACTTCTTTTATGACTAGTGTTATAAAAAATTACTGTTTGTGGAAATGAAAACCAGAATTTTTCTGGGCTCTGTTATATTTTGTTTTTCTTATAAAAGTCTTTGTTTCTTAAAATCAACCTTAATATGCTGTCAATTTATCTTAAAGAACAAATAGGCCTTTAATCCTACACTAGGATTATTCAGTGAAGGTGAGCTCCAAATAAATACTATGCCCCCTCTTTGTACCTAATGAGTATTTGTTAGGAACCAACCAGGATACCATATCAATAATTGAAGCAGAAATTTGAATTTAATATAAAGATTGTTAACAGGTAAAAGGTGTCCAACTACTAAGAAGGGTAGAATGGACTCTAAAGGGCACAGAAGTAGCAACTGTAGAAATAGCTACTATCATTGGCTGAGGAAGAGTAAAGAGTAAGGAAGAAATTTTAAATTTAGAGGAGAGGGCGTGGCAAGCACAGGAACATATAGTTCACTTGTGGTTAAGAGAATGGCTGAGGCATGGCCTATAAGTGCACCATAAAGACTGCTGAGGTGAACATAACCAGGCCTCCCTGCAAACCAGTCCCCCCGAAGAACAGTACACCAGAAGAAAGAAAAGCCCTTTCCTCCTGCTCTGGCCTCACAGTGTCTTTCTGTCATCCTTTATTGGCAAAGACTAACATTTTGCCAGTTGTCGAAGCAGAAATGCTTACAGAGTCCAGCTCTAGAATAATGAAGAAGGCAAAGAAGGAAGGATAAGTTAATAACTGGCACAGAAGGTAAGATTCTCAAGGGCAGGGATTAGGTCTAACTCAGATTTATGTCTTCCATGGCACCTAACAGTTAAAATTGTCATCACTCAATTCATTTTTGTTCAACAATAAATAAGGGGTTTAGTATGAACAGAGTAATTTGCAATAACTTTATTATTCTCTTTAAGATTTTAGTCTGAACAAATTAGAATGACCTCTAGAATATCTTTTTAGTATTGCAAAATTCAAACTTTGAGAGCCCAAGGAACATTTTTTGATTTAGGCCATGAGTTTGTTCAGACATTTTTGTCTGTCTATGAAGGGTTTTATACTTATACTCTCATGTCCCTAAATAACTCATAAAAAAACCCAAACAGTAGAGCCCTTTGTTGATCCATTCATACAACAGAATATTGGCAGGAATCGGACATAAGCTGAAGCAGACTTAGGCCTAGGGTAGGTGGTAAGGTAGCAGACATCCATCTGTGGTTGCC